TATTTATATATATATATATATATATATATATATATATTCCTCCATTAGGAAAAAATATATCAACATGATTGTTTCCGTATATGTTTAGATACGGTCTAATATATAAATGGAAGCCGTTGTTAAAACCGAATTCTACCGGTTTGGATTCGAATTTGTCCGGTTAAGTCAAACCAAACCAAAAGATCCGACACCTCCACGTCAGAAAACATTATGGGCCAAACTTTTCGTTCCAATTATTTCTCATTAAGTAAATCGGCCCAATATAAAGATGGGCCTTTGCTCACTAAATGGGCCTAAAGCTTTACTGATGGACCCACTTGACCAAATTGAGGAAACAAAATCATTTGGATATCCTTTACATAAAGTTAAAACATTTATAATATTAATTAACATTAAGTTTTAAATTATATATTTGCAAAAGTTAATAATAATAATATGGAAAAGTGAAGAATTTCGGAATTACGGTAATATAAAAATAAAAATTCGAAGGGGAAGGAGATGATGAGGAGGAAGGAAGAAGATGAAAGCGGACAAAAAGGCGGTCCTTAGATCGGATGTAACAAGTCAACCTATTTCTTCCTTCACTGGCAATCTTCACTAACACACAAACTCTAGACGGAGCAAGGCAACTCTTCACCATAGCTGATAGACCTTCCCATTTCCCCCTCTCTCTAGGTTTTCTCAATGGAGCCGGGAAATTTCGCCGGCGAGGAGTTTCGCCCGGCGGCGGGAGATCCGGTGAAGAGGCAGGGAGCGGCGTACTCGGCCAGCGGAGGTGGTGCGAGGTACAAGCTGATGTCTCCGGCGAAGCTTCCGATCTCGAGGTCGACGTGCATCACGATTCCTCCTGGGCTGAGTCCGACGACGTTTCTGGAGTCTCCTGTACTCCTCTCCAACATCAAGGTCAGTGCTCGATGCCATAGCTGCTTACTTTTCTGTGGAAGCATCGAAGGATAAATTGAAAGTTTGACTTCATTTGAGGTGCCTGATGAGAAGTTAGGTTTTCTGATAAAATTCTAAGATCTGTGGGGTAGTGGTGGAATTGCAATGACTTTGTGAATTTGACTCAGTTGATTTTCTCGGCAGCCAAACAGATTATTTCTTGACATTTTATTCCGCTACTCGGTTATGTAAACTTTGATGAGCTTGTTTTACGGTTTCGTATCTTGTCAATCCTGTCTTAGTCCAGAAGCTACTATTCTCCCAGTAGATTTAGTGGAGAATCTCTATGGTTTCTTAATTGGGTTCTATAATTTGGTGAAGATGCTTTTTGCTTACACACTGGGAAATATGTTGAAATTCGGCTTCCGTAGCTCTTTCTTTCCAATTTACAAACATTAAAATATATGATTTGTTGCTCATGTCAGGGTCCTTGGCTCAGATTCTGATTCTTGCCATGACTATACTCTGCATTGGCGCTTTTATGTCCGTTTAGATTGTTCCCTGGAATAAACCTTTTTTCTATGCACTATTCATGATGGATTGTTTTATCTATCCTCTTGTTCATCATCTTTTTCCCCTCCATGATGTGGGTCTTTCCAGTGGTTGGTGCTTTTCTCGTCTTTCCATGTTTTGTTAATATGCTGAACTGCAAAGTCCTCATCTGTTTATGTGAGAATTAGAAATGGAATGATTCCATAAATGAGAGCAAGTGTTTTTATATGCTTAGCGTGCTGCGAGAGGAAACACTACCAAAATAGTCGCAAGGTGGGAACTGGGTTTTCGTTTGACTGGGAGTTGTAGCTCTACCATATCTAAGTAATTGATGATAAACGAGGTTTTGGTCTGCTCAATTGCATTTTTTTGTTTCTTAGCGATATCCATATCTCTCAGTTTGGAAATAGTTGTTGTTATATATGTCTGCCTTCGAAGTATTGTTCTTTCATCAGTTTATTGCTACCATCTTCATGCTGATAAAGGATTATTTCATCCTAGGCTGAGGCTTTGAGCCTTGGGAGGTGGTGGAAGTGATAAGTTTCTTAGTCCAATTCCTTCTACAATCTTTCAGGATAAATTCGAGGATTTTTTTCAATCCTTGTAATGATATTTATCCTGTTGTCTCCTGCTGCTGCTGACAAAATTTGGATATGTGAACTTTCTTGAACTTTCAGGCAGAACCTTCCCCTACTACTGGTTCCTTGTTCAAGCCTCAACCAGTGCATGGTTCTATTAGTTCAAGTTGTTATCCAGGAAGCGCAGTACGTCTGAATGCTTTTGACGAGAAGAAGTCTAGCGAATTTGAGTTTAGACCAGATCCGGTGTCTAATATGGTAAAACCTATTAAAGTGCTATTTTGAATGTGTTTAACCTGCTGTAGCTACACAGTTCTCCAAAAAATCTGTTTATGTCCAGCGCATGGGTTACTAGTCATATTGTATAATCTTCTTTACTGGGTAGGACATCACTTTTAGGATTTAGTTGATGAGGAACCTACTAACGAGAAATGTGAAGTTCAAATTTCATTGTACGCTGTTGGGCTATGTAGTTGTCTAAAAGGTTCTATTGATTTCAAGGTTTCTGCAGAGCTGGACAAGCAGAGAATTGAGCCACCTGTACAATTTCAAGGCCACTGCCTTTCTCATGCACCATCTTTAACAAGTGGAGCAGTGGCATCCTCAAGTGAGCTTAGCCGACCAACACATCCTCTTCAGACAACACCCGCAGGCTCTGATATTCCTG